TCAAAGACGTGACAAAGGCACTGCAATCTACAGCCTCAAACATGGTGAAGTCTTGCTCTGAGATAAATAAAAACATTATGTGCTTCACCAAATTGGCATCTAATTCAGGAGAAGTGCGTTGAGTTATTATGTGTTAAAGTCATTTTCAGGTCCCTGAATTTCTGCCAGTGGGTATCAAGCTGAGGTCACTATTGAGACTGAAAACAGAGACGGCAAACTTCCTGTAGAGGTGCTTGGCCACAGTGGCCTCTGCTGATGGGTAAAGGTACTGCGAGCAGAGGCAGGTTGAGAGTTTTAAGCGTGAAGCAGCGCAGCCTTGGCATTTATTTGAAAATGGGTTGATGATCACTAATTGGTTTAATCCTTTATTAAACTATGCGCTCATGATTACCTTAAGATAATGAATCACGCTCAGCCAACTGTTGTGGCGGAATATAATTGACATGGATGGATCCCAACTGCTTTACTGGGAGAAGCTGTGGGATACATCTGTCCTGCCTTTGCACAGCTGCTGGAGAGTGATGACAGCAGTGTTTGGCTTTTTTAATTGAAGCGGAATGCAGTGGCGTTTGCACTACTGAATCAGAAGACAGTTGTGAATGCGGCTCATCAAATTATATCTAAACTGTTGTCAAATATGGGAATCAAGCATATATTCTCACAGGATCTTATCACGGTGGAAAATATGAAATGCTAATATCTGGCATGACACAAGAAAAGCAGCAAGAGTACATCCAGATGTTTCAGCAATCTATTTAGCAGTGTGTTTGAAGCCAAACTTTATGACAACATGGAAATACTTTTATGAGGATAAATGTCAACCACAGACAGAGGCTACAAATGAAATTGCTGTTAAAAGCAAAACTCCCACGGCAACAAATGCTATTGTCTCAAAACACGGCCTACGCATACAGTAAAAGATGCTTTCCCATAAAGTGCTCTGAAAGACCTCACTAAAGCTATTTTCAGCCTGTTTAGTAGTAGCCAAGCACTGATATAAATCAAGTAATTGCTAACAGAGTCCCATGATGTTATTTTAGCTTCGAGCTCAAAGAACGCAAAGATTGGCCATTAAAGAGAAATGAAATGATACGATTTAATTGGCTTTTCACTGACCTAATGCTTTCTTAAGTCAAGAGCGTGTGCCGCTGTTTCATGTTTAAAGACGTGCATTTTACAGCAGTAATTGAAAGGCTTTTATGTCACAAAATGTTTTGAGTCCAAAGCTCGCACTGATGGATTAAGCCAGACTCTGAGCATTACAAAGAGGGGGGCATTTCACAGAGAAGACATGAAAGCATTTCTCGGATCTTCTGCGATAACTTTAATCTCGGAGCCAAATTTCTCACAACAACCTACAGATAAATGGAGCTTATGTGTCATCAGTGCAGTTTTGGCAGATTTGATTGTATTCCAACAAAAAAGAAAACAGGCTACTTGTGTGTGAGAGCGACACTTAAATCAAAATGGCAACAAGAACCAGCTTTCAGTGTGCTGTCTTTCCATAATCTTTAGCGTTTAATGTGAGTGGAAATCAAGATTTTGCTCAAGGAAAACATAATCTGGAACCAAAGAGACAAAAAGGGGGGAAAAGAAAAGATTATTATAGTTCAACATTTGCTTTGAATTAAATCCTGTTACTGTGAGATCTCTTTCTGCGCCTCTTTTCTTTCCCAAGTGGATTTTTTTCTCCTATATCAAGAAATTTAAATACAAGCAGAGTAAATGATAATTCCTATGAGACCAGAGGATGTTTGGGAAAAGCCAAATCCACCAGCTAACCAGAAAACCAACATCATCCTCCATCACTGCCATGCCATGACATCATCCTGCTTCCTCTGTGCTGGTGTCCCTGTGGTCTGGACTCCTAAATCTCTGGCTTAAACACTGACGTTCTCAAATGGGCTTGGCGAATTAATCCAACGATGAGAGACAAGAAAATAATAGTGCTCAGCTTTAGTGAGGTCCTCTTGCCTTTTCTGTCTCTGTGCTGTGTGTCAGCATGAATATTCCTCCTCTGAAGAGTGCTGCGATACAACCTGACATTACCAACTTGGAGTGCCCCCAAATTAGATAGAGTTAGTTTGCTTTGGCAGCACTCGCCGCTCCACAAAAACCTGGATACTGCATAAACTCCAGAAATGTCTCTAATGACAGACATATGGTACAGAAATGTACCCCTGAGCTAGAGGTAATCACTGTCATTTAATGTTACAGCAAATGAGTCGACCATTAACACCCAGACCAGTACAGGCCTACACCAGCAGTAAAAGATCAGTTTGGTTAATTTGATTATGGTGCTTAAAATTGTCTAAAATATACCTCGTTTTATTGCCGTCATCCATGACAAACAGTTAAATTAGTGCAACTCACGACATACTTCATACTTACACTTCTAACACTCAGTTCGGGCCGTAATTTTTTGCACAAAAATACAGATTTTTTTAAACCTTTTTGTCTCTGTACACAAACACAGTGGATTTTAAAATAAACAGTCAATAAGTGATTGATGTGCAGACTTTAGGCTTTAATTCAGGGGGTTTAACAAAGAAGGACTGATTAGATTTTGCCTGAAAACATCTAAAAAGCATGCAGTTTCTCTACAGCTGAAACCAAGATTTGCTGGCACGAGAACGACTGAAGGAGAAAGTAGGAAGTAGGAAGGTACGGCTCATTATCCAAAGGATGTCAAACATGGCTGAGACAGTATGATGTTATGGGCATGTACGGCTGCCAGTGGAACCAGGTCCTTAATGTTTTTTGATGATGTGATGGCTGATATAAGCAGCAGGGTGAAATCTGCATGTGAAGCACTGATTCACAGTGCAAATGGATAATAACCCAAAGCACGCTGCAAAAACAACCCAACAGTTTCTCAAGACACAACATTTAAAAAAAAGGTACTCTTCAATGGCCAAATCAGTCACCTGATCTAAACCCAACAGAGCATGCTTTTCAATGAGCGAAGAAAAGACAATGCAGAGAGGGCCACAAACAAGCAGCAACTGAAGGTGGCTGCAGTAAAGGTCTGGCAGGGCACCAGGCAGCCATCAACTGCCAAGGGCCAAGCAATCCTTATATTTAAAAATATGATTGTGAAATTCATTTTTAGCCTCTGAAATTTGGGGACTGTGCAAAAATGAGTGCAATTTCTAAGCATTTACTGAAATCCTTTTTTAAAAGTCTTTTTAAAAAATTGATTGTTAGAGACAGGAAAGGCACAAACATGAAACTGACTTTCTACTAAGAATGATCGATTTAAATATTTGGCAGTGTAGATCATGTATTAAATGAATGGGTGTGGGTCTAAAGGCATTGTTGCTAAAGATGTGATTTGAGATGGACTTTGTTGGTAGGCTCTTTTTTATGTTTTTGACCTTTAATAGAGCTAATATTAATGAGTTAATTGAGAAAAGAGTTTCAGATTAACCAAGTATGAATACAACCATTCAGTTACAGTGCTAGTGGATGCTTGTCATCAATATAAACACTGATAGTTGCAGAATAGCATTCCATTTACCAGCTACTGCAAGAGGAATTGGTCTTATCAATAAAACTAGCTACAGTATAAACTCGCTAGCTAAAAACAAGCAACAATTTAGACCAGGGGTGTCAAACATAAGGCCTCTGGGCCAGAATCGGCCTAGCACAGATTCCAATCCAGCCCATTGGATGGTTTTGGAAAATGTGAAAGTAAAGATAAATTTGAGACATTAACTGTAATTTTACAAGTTTTACAGCTTTTCCTACTGATAAAATCCCGCATGGCCCTTTACAATACACAAAAGTATTTATATAATTCTCAATATTATATAATAAAATAATAGAAAGATAGATTTCTTTAATTTTACACATTTTCTTTTTACAGTTTAACCCCAAAAAGTCATGCTGACACATATCTTTCATTTACCACACATCTTTTCTTTATCATATAGAAATCCTGTGACAGACTGTTAAAATTGCTCTTGCTTGTCTTCTGCTAAGATATTTTATTGATTAAATGTGTAATTACACTGAAAGAATTTGGAGTTTCACTGATTTGGCCCACCTAGGATAAAGTGGGTGTTTTATAAAGTAAAATGCATTAGCAAAATATTTAGTTGTTGTTGTGCAAAACAAATAAATACCTATGCTCTTTAACTAAATTTTAAAAATATTTAATGATGTCAACCTGTAGCTGCTAATATGAATTTCTCTTTAACCCCATCCATCATCAAAGAAGCAATACAGAAGCAGTCCACAGCCACCAGTTCAAACATAACATACGTGCGTTTGGAAGCAATGTGTAAGCATAGCTGTTCATTAATTTTTACATCATGTAAAAAATTGTCATAGCTGAAGTCTACAAAATATAGTGTGTAATTAATACAAGAATTACTTTGTCTGAGTAGACACTTTTAAGAAGTTAACCCAGCTACCATGCCAAAGTAAAGAAAACCTGGGCATAATTTATCTTATCAGTTACACCCGTTCTTCCCAACATGTCATGATGTGGGAAACCTTGTTAAGGATAAAGACATTCAAATGACAAGTCAGCGTTTCCTTTCATATCAGAAACATAATGAGAGTGGCAGGCGTTTCCCAGTTAATCCATTTAAGACCTTTATCATCTTATTAACCTTGAATCAAAAAGGTGTGGCAGAAGCAAAGATAGTAGAGGAAACCGGTTATATTCAATGCACGCAAAGACCAGAGCTGGTCAAATGAGAATAAAACGGTTAATCATAATGCATAACCTCGCTGTGAGAGTAAATGTATTTGTAATGTAACACTGCACAAAAACTACAGGAGCAACTGTGCATTTTTCTTTTCTGCAAACTAGCAGGTCTGTTGATATTTTTATTCATGTTGTTTCATGTCATGCTGAACAATTTTATTGCTGTATTTTGCATTTAACAGTATTGAGTTCAAACAGTTTGTTTCTCGTCAACTTTCCCTGTGAGTCAAATCCAACTTTTTGAGCCATTTGAGCTCCCTTACTTGCTGCATTGGGGATTCAGGAAGCAGCTTCACTATCATAACAAAAGCGTTAAGAAACGCCGTTTGTTGACAAATTATGTTATATTTCCTGGTCTTTTATCGTCAGTCAGTCTGTAACGTGAACTACTTTCAGTATGCAGACGGTCTGTTATCTTGTCAAAGTTTACCGTCTGAACAATGTGCTGTTATTTCGTTTATTTAGACCACTTTGCTAACATCACTGGCAGGCTACAGAGTTAGCCGAAACGGCTAACTTAAATCCTCCAGGAACTTAAGTTGGAAGAAGATTTTCCATCAAGTCTGGGCATCCGATGAAACTTAAGCACCTTCCAGTAAAAGTGGAGTAGTGTGTGTTCATAGAGGTGGGTAAAATAAGCTACTGTTTCTTTGATTTTCTGGTTTGTTTTTTAACATTAACTTGTGTTATATTTTGATTTCATTCCAGGGAAGTGAAAGTGCTTACTGTA